GACAGAAAAATCCTCATTGTAGACTTCCAGTGAATAGTTATTGAATTAAAAGTGAAAATAATGTAAGTATCATTTATTAATTAAATAATTTAACGTTAAAAGACCCTATAACCAAAGATTGTTTATTATTTTGTACCTTACTAATGAAGAACTGCAGAACTCAATACCTATAAAATTATAACATAAATAAGAAATCATAAACACCTAAATCTAAACACAAACTAAGCTCTCAAATACCTTAAATACCAACCTCAACAAAAGAAAAAAACCCCAAACCCCAGTGTATAATGGGCTGTGTGAGGATATTATTAATACTATATACTACGTTACATTACTAATATAATATAATATAATATAATATAATATAATATAATATAATATAATATAATATAATATAATATAATAATGATTACATTACATTATATTAATTATATTATATAATATAATATTATTATATTATATTATATTATATTATTATATTATTACATAGTATATATTATTAATAATAACATTAACAACAAAACAACAATATAGTAGTAATAATAATAATACTAATACTACTACTACTACTACTACTACTACTAATAGTAATAATATAGTTAGGAGAAACCTAATTGTAATAATAACTTTAAAACTTTAAAAAATTTAGATATATTTCATTTTTATAAGTTTTTTTTAAGGATAAACTGTCTAATTAAGAAATGATACTTTAATTATTTTTACTTTTAACCTAATAACTAACTACTTGTGCCTCATAATGTAGATTTTTTGTTTAATTACACAATATTATTTAAACTCATGAAGAAGAAGGTAAAGAAGAAGGACTAGTTTAGTTTTAAAACTTCCATCTTGTTTTATAGATATTATTATATTCTGAAACTTTCAACACTAAGTTTTTTATTAGGTGATAATATACACTTTTATTTAAACTATATCCTCATAATTTTAATTTTATCATTCAGTTTTGGAAGCTTTTTTTACAGCTTTAGGTCAAATGCAGTGTTTTGTTGGGGGTCAGTGTCTGTCAGAATAGAAAATTTAATATTTTCAGCAGGGTTCCAACAGGTGCCTTTTGGGGCAGCTCTTCAAAGCAGCAAAGTTGAGTTTGTGATTTTTACCTGCAAAATGCCAGGGAAGCACAGAAGTGTTTATCAAGTTGGGAAGTATCAAACTGCCTTAGAAGCCTGTTGAAGTTTTATTGTTTTCAGTGAAAAAAAATGTTTTGTTTTCAGAAGAAGAAAAGGTGTTTGGCAATGGCAGAGTTACTCTCCAAGGTTTCCCGCTCTGATTCTCCATTAATGCCATTATGTCTGGCTCTCAGGATATGGAGAGATGAATCTTGGAGATGGGAGGTGGAAATTGGAGAGAGCAGAGCTATCATTCACTCCTGCCTTTATAAACCCCAATTTTCAAGGGCTTATTTTTCACATGGATTTTAAAACCTGCCATCTCAGCTGACAGCTTGGATACCGAGCTTCATCTTGATCAGTTTATTTCTAGGAGAGATGGGAAAATGACTTGGAGCTAGTGAGAGAGCATCCACAAAAATAATCCTGCTTCATAGTTTCAGGTGCAGGTAGGAAAGAGGAAAACCATTCCCCCCCTGGCAATTTTAAACAAACCTTTGCTTTCAAACTGCTGAGCTCTTTCATTTTGAAAAGCAGAGAAACACTTAAAAATAGTAATAATAATAATAATAATAATAATGATACTAATAAAAATTTTTCTAACTGTCACTTCATTTTAATGGATAATTAATGTTGTCATAATTCCAGGACTGCTGTTGCAGATCCCAAGGGGAAGGATATTAAGTTGGAAAGTAATTTCAAGTGGAGTTATGTGGCCAGCTAAACACAGACAAATTACATAAAGCAGTTTTACAATTCTAACTCAGGTTCTCTTTGTCCCTCTGGCATAAAAATGGGAATTTACTCATCTATTTTATCTCTGTATAATACTGATCTAAATGCACCTATTTTAAAAGCAATGGCTTTATGTGTGTAATTAAAAATCCCCTCAACCAACCTGCCCCCCTTTTTACTCAGCCCTCCTCCTTCCAACACCAAACACTGCCCCAAAAACACTCCCACAACTCAGGAAGCTCCAAGAAAACTCAACCACTGACAAGAGTCACTGTCCTTGTTGCTCTGAGCGTTCACGAGCTGTCCGTGGAAGTGCTGTTGATAAATTGAATTAATTGGAGTGAGTTGAGTGGATAACTGAGATCTGAAACGAGTCTTGGATCTGCTGGTCAAGGCCTGGCACATTCTGAGGGGTTTTTCCTTTGACAGATGTTAGGCTGGGGTTGGAAGGCAGCTGGAAAGGGAGAGGGATAATGAGGGGGTTCTGCTGGATGGCGTGGCTTGGGTTGAGAGTTTGGGTGATGGGACAAATCTGGTGTTTGAAATAGGGTGGCTGAGGCGATGAGGGTTATGTGGGACGAGGTGGAGAATAACCTTAAAATTGTATTTTCAGTGTTGGCTGGGTTTGGGAACAGACATCATGGAATTATGGAATCGTGGGGTGATTTGGGTTGGGAGGGACCTTCAAGATCATCTCATTCCATAGGGGCAGGGACANAGCTCCTTCCCACCCAAACCATTCCAGGATTATCTGGTGGCTTTTGATAACTGAGTTTTTTGTGTATCTCTGCCATCTCATCACCTGCGACCAGGTGGTCAAACTTGGGTGACTTTTCTCTTGAAAAATCCTTTCCTTGAGTAATGCAGATGAGAGGTGATAGAATTTTCTGCCCTGCTTTGAGCAGACAGGTGTCTGCTAAGGGAGGCAGGAGCCTCCCTTGAAATGGAAAATGTAAACCCCTTCCCTTATAATTTTGAAATTAAGGGGCTTTCAGGCAACGATATGTGTTGGGAATTTAGCTGCTAGAAAATGGAAAAGTACAAGACCATGGCTAACTCCAAGTCCTGCACCTGTGTTGATAGCATGTCCTTGAGGCTTAGCTGTAGTATATTAACAAACAGTGAAAGAGACATGAGAAAAGAGAGATGTAACCCCTAAGGAATGAGGAAGAGTTGATAGTATAGTTAACCAATAGATTGCTTAGCTTACAGAATATTCATAAGCTTATTGCTCACTGTATAAGTGTCTGATGCTCTCTTCAATAAATGGAATTTGCTTATCACTCATATTGAGTGTCTGAGTCTCCCCTCACCGACAAATGGCTCAACCCCGGCAAAGGCCTTCATTCTCGGTGACAGATATGGGAGCAGGAATAACAGTTCTTTACTCAGAAAATTAAAATACAAATGCAATGGTACCAAAAAATTCCAAAACCCACAGCCAGAGTGAGAGCAGTCCCTGCCCCCTGTGTGTCAGGGGGTGTCCCAGCCCCATCCATGGGGGCTCAGCCCTCCTGCAGTGCCAGCTGTGGCTCTGCTGCAGCAGGGATCCTGCACAAGGGGGGAGTTTTCCTCTGCAGCTCCAGGGCTGCTGCAGATGGGCCTGGGCTCCCTCTNTGACCCGAGCCATCCTCCGCGAGAGAGCGGCCACCGAGGAGGAGCGGCAGAAGGCTCAGCGCTTTGTGAGTGCCCATGGGGTGGGAGGGTGGGAATGGGGCAGGGAATCTCACAGATATGTGTGTGCTTGGGTCTCTGAATGGAGAATTTCAGAGTGAAATAGTGGTGGGAGCAAGTTTTGATATAGAAGAATCGTAGATGTGTAAGTTGAGGATTGCTCAGCCAGTCTTACTGGACAACTAAGAAAGCAAAGGTTGTGTCTCTGAATGCGGAATTTGAGAGTGAAACAGAGGTGGGAGCAAGTTTTGATATAGAAGAATCGTAGATGTGTAAATTGAGGTTTGCTCAGCCAGTCTGATTTATTAAAAATATGGATATTGATCTAGTACCAATATCCAACTGTGATGGACGAAGACTCTTTAACAGTTTAGGGTTAGAAAGTGTGTGTTTATTGTGGGATAGATCCCAAATACACACTGCAGTTTACAGGTGATTCCAGAGTCCTTTTATCTATTACAAATATTGAATGCCCAAAATACAAATGCATATTCACAGCTTTGGTACATCCCACTCCCAGTATGGATATTGATCTGGTACCAATATCCAGCTGTGATGGACAAAAACTTTCCAACAGTTCAGGGTTAGAAAGTGTGTGTTTATTGTGGGATAGATCCCAAATACACACTGCAGTTTACAGGTGATTCCAGAATCCTTTTATCTGTACAAATATTGAATGCCCAAAATGCAAACACATATTCACAGCTTTGGCCCATCCCACTCCCAGTATGGATATTGATCTGGTACCAATATCCAACTGTGATGGACAAAAACTTTCCAACAGTTCAGGGTTAGAAAGTGTGTGTTTATTGTGGGATTGCACCCAAATACACACTGCAATTTACAGGTGATCAAAACCAAGAAGACATAACTTTATATATATATATATATATGTATATATATATATACACACATATATATATATACATATATATATACACATATATATATACACACACATATATATATACACATATATATATACATATATATACAGAGTCCTTTTATCTGTTACAAATATTGAATGCCCAAAATACAAATGCATTTTCATAACTTTGGTACATCCCATTCCCTGCTTCCTATGGTAATTAGTTCAAAGGTAATTAAGCATGCATAGTTTGTTCCTTGAAATGAGTTGGTGGTCCTTTTCATGGGGAGGGGTCCCAAAATGAGGAAGTAAATGAAGTCTTCTTCGTTCTGAGCTTTCTACCTTTTCAAGGCAAATATCACAAATGAACCCTTGGTAGAACTCCCATTCCTGTCTTCAGTGGGTTTCAGAACAGAGGAATTTGTCTGATGTTCCTAAAAGCAATTTATCAGTTTCTATATTCTTCATTATAAACCCAGCTAACCAAACATTGTGCTGACAAGCAATCAATTATTAGTTAACTACTAACTCTTAACTTCATCAAGGCCTACCTATTTATTTTAATTAACTCCACTAAAGCTTGTCTCTAACTAAAATCTTAGCTCCTCTAAAATCTCTAAATTCCTTCAAGTTTATGTCTCAAGTCTTGCTGACAACTAAGAAAGCAAAGGTTGTGTCTCTGAATGTAGAATTTGAGAATGAAATAGAGATGGAAGCAAGTTTTGATGTAGAAGAATAGCAGAATTCAAGATCTGTACCACAGGGAAATGCATTTCTGTGTATCCTTTGTCAGGATGCTTGAGAAATTCCATATTATGGATATGAAACTGCTTTATTTAGTTATTTGGCTGGTTAATTTTCACTTGCTTCAGAATATCAAAGTCAGCAGTTGTGTCATCTCGGTTTTGATCAATCTTCCTGGTTCCATCTGGGAAATTTGGAAATATCTGATGGTTCTTGGATGCAGGTTTGTAATCACCACTGCAGATTTGCCATTTCCACTGCAGCTGGTTCATTCTTTGAAGTGGGTACTCTAACATTACAAACTGGCAAGAAGGTTTTGTCTGTTTCCTTAAAATTGAAATACTGAGTAATTCTCACCTTCCTGTAAGCCAGCTCCTTTATTTTCCTTCAATTTTAAATTGAGGATCGCTCAGCCAGTCTTGCTGGACAACTAAGAAGGCAAAGGTGGAGTTGGAAAGAGGTTTTACAACTCAGAGCAAAGGATCAGCTGACCACAAACAAAAAGATGTTTTTACCAAGCAGAATGATACCACAGGCAAAAAAGACGTGTTCATTTGGCAAGTAGAAAAATTTTGGTTATCTGGCTGGTTAATTATCACTTGTTTCAGAATATCAAAGTCAGCAGTTGTGTCATCTTGGTTTTGATCAATCTTCCTGGTTCCATCTGGGAAATTTGGAAATATCTGGTGGTTCTTGGGTGCAGGTTTGTCATCACCAAAAAGATATTTTCCATTTCCACTGTAACTTGTTCATTCTTTGAAGTGTGTAGTCTTAATATTGCAAACTAGCACGAAGGTGTTGTCTGTTTCCTTGAAAATGAAAATACTGAGTAATTCTCACCTTCCTATAAATCAGCTCCTTTATTTTCCTTTAATTGGTCAGATTTTATTTCTTTGGCTTCATTCCTTACCCAACCTGTGCATTTATTTCCTGTATCAAAACAGAATTCAAAATCTGTACCTCAGGGAAATGCATTTCTGTGTAGCCCTTGTCAGGATGCTCAAAAAATTCCATATTATGGATATGAAACTGCTTTATTTAGTTATCTGGCTGGTTAATTTTTACTTGCTTCAGAATATCAAAGTCAGCAGTTGTGTCATCTTGGTTTTGATCAATCTTCCTGGTTCCATCTGGGAAATTTGGAAATATCTGGTGGTTCTTGGGTGCAGGTTTGTCATCACCAAAAAGATATTTTCCATTTCCACTGTAACTTGTTCATTCTTTGAAGTGTGTAGTTTTAATATTGCAAACTAGCACGAAGGTGTTGTCTGTTTCCTTAAAAATGAAAATACTGAGTAATTCTCACCTTCCTATAAATCAGCTCCTTTATTTTCCTTTAATTGGTCAGATTTTATCTCTTTGGCCTCATTGCTTACCCTACCTGTGCATTTATTTCCTTTAATTGGTCAGATTTTATTTCTTTGGCTTCATTGCTCACCCTACCTTTGCATTTATTTCCTGTATCAAAGGAAAATTCAGAATCTCTACCACAGGGAAATGCATTTCTGTGTATCCTTTGTCAGTTACTCTGAAGAATTCTGTGTTTTAGTAAACTGCTCCAGCAGGTTTGTATTTTATGAAGCCCAGATTTAATTTCTCAGATTCTTCTTGGAGAAAAACAAAAGTGTTCCTGAAGTGTTAGTAGCAAAATAAATCCTTTTGCTGCTGCTAAATTGTTTAAATAGTGCAAAGGAAAAGAAATTATAGTGAGAAAGGAAAAATTTGAGAAAGGAAAAATTTGAGGTTTCCTTTGTAAAGGGTGCTAATTCAGGCTTTAATAAATAGATGTAAAATGAAATCACTTTTCCCATTCTTGAAGGATAAATTTATAGTGCTATCCCAAAAGTTAGAATTAGCTTTTTATACAAATGAGGGAATAAAAAAAGGATGAAATGATGAGTTAATAGCTGAAATATTTTTGTGCTGTGACATGTCCCAGGAAGTGCCCTCAGTTCAGGGGTGGCTGGTGGGATGTCAGCTCCTGCAAAAACACATTTTGGGCTGATCCAGAATTGCAAAGCAGTAATTGTGACATTTGTGCCAGCAAAAGTAGAAATTATTGTTCAGAGTGGCATTTCCAAACCCTGGAAATCCCTTGTGGGGTCGTGTGAGGATTTAATCAACTCTTGGTGCTTAACTCAGCAGAAATTAAGGCAGCTGCTGTCGATTCCTGGAGCAGTCCTTGAAATGCCACTGACTGGGAACATTTNTTATGTATGAAGATGCTCAGCAAAGAAAAATTTATAATGCAATGTAAGCAAAATTAAAGGGTCTTCAGGCCTGCCTGCAGCTGGATCTGACAGCTGTAGATGTGGCTCTGTCACCCACAGCCCTGCACTGCTGTAACTCTTGGATAAAATAATACAAAATAAAATAAAATAAAACAATAAACTGCATTTTGAAGGCTCTTACTCTCAAATATTTACAGAAATCACAGATATTCCAAGCAACTTTCTCCTCAAGCCTATTGGTAGAAGAGGAGAGCAGATATTTTATTTAATTTTTTTTCATGACTGGGTAGCAGCGTGTCATTTTATTTTAAATATCCCTCTTTTAAGGGGTTTTGCTGCTTATTTCCAACTTTGGAACCAGCTCAGTGAAAAATTTTGTTTAAAAGATTCATCTCTCATTAGAGCTGATGTATTCAACCTTCTGACAAGGAAATTGGAGCATATGGTTGGCTGTTTTCCTGAGAAAACTGACATTATACACTTCAGTCCATTTCAAATGTCTGACAGATTTATCACTTCCTCTACAGAGTGTTTGCTTGCTGCGGTGAGTCTCTATTGACTCTTCTTTCTAACAATAATCATTATTGTATGAGGTGGGAATATGCTTTAAAAATACAAATATACTTGAGTGTGAATACTAAAGAAATCGTTATTTTCAAGGCAAAAAGTTGAAAATACTTCACGTGAGCATTGCTATAAAAGTAAATAGGAATTACTTATGTCAGCAGCAACATAAATATTCCTTGGGCTCTCTAAATCTGGAGTAAAATCCAAAGTTTTTAAGGTTTATGGGTTGGTATCTTAGTAATCAATCACTTCAATAAGCAATAGCTTTGTCCTTGCTGTGGGATTTAAAATCTGATATTCCTGTTATTTTTCCAAATCCCAATTTAAAAGCAAACCAATTCCACCTCAGTGTTGGTATCTTTTCCAGCAATTTCTGGATTCTTTTTCACCTCTATCCTAATGTTATTGTTGAAGAATAATTTCAGTGTTGTAAACAAATGTTTTATATTTTGTCATTGTGTAAAACATGGGAACAAAGGAGAATGGAAAGGAATTATGACCAAGGTACAGCCTCAATTATATGCCTTAAATCCTTGGATTCTTAATGTTGTGTGGGAGAGATAAGGGTTTTGTGGCCTGGAGCTAATGAGGAGCTGAA